ACCAACTCACAGTAAAGGAGAAGTTCTTATGTTTACGTAGAACCCAGATGCCAGGAATTTTCTAGAAAATGGACATGCAATAATAGCGCCGCCCAGAAGATGGCGACGCACCTTTCTGTCCAGGAGGACTACACTCCAGGCAGCACTGAAGGTCTGGGAGAGAAGGTTGGGGAGACTCTGGGCCAGCCGGGAGCCTCTGGGGAAGGACAGCCTAGAAAACAGGGCTCTGATTCAGAAGGCTCATTCTTTTTGGCTGGGACCCCATGAGTAAAATAGCTGTTGCTGCAAACGACACATTTTTAAGGCTTTGAATGCAAGAGCAATTTCAAGTCCAGGGTGGTTGGCAGGTCTGCGGTCAGGATGGATATTTAACTTGAATTCAGGGAGTCTGAAAATCTGGGACAGCTCCTTGGCAATCCAGGAGTGACAGATCTTTTGTTCAACTTTTCCTAGGCTTGGGCAACAGCCTCAGAGAGCCATCTAGATTTCCTCCAACATGGAGACTCAACCTAGCCAACATTCTACCACAGGAATTGGTACCTGGGCTTTGGGGTCCACAAATGCTTAAAACTGAGTAACTGTGTGCAAGAGTTGTGTAGGTGGGCGATGTGCCAGTAGACATTTACAGTTCCTAGAGAGAAAGCCCTTTATGCCATCTCTTTCTCCAAGGGCTTCGTGATTAAAAAACCAGGCTGGGTACAGTGGTTCATGCCTGTAATCCCAGCACTTTGGGAGGCCACGGTGGGAGGATCGCTTAAGCTTAGGAGATTGAGACCACCCTGGGCAACATGCAAAACCCTGTCCCTGCAAAAAATACAAAAATTAGCTGAGTGTGGTGGCACATGCCTCTAATCTCAGCTACTTGGGAGGCTGAGGTAAAAGGACTGCTTGAGCCCAGGAGGTCAAGTCTGCAGTGAGCAGGTTCACATCACTGCACTCCAGCCTGGGTCACAAAATAAATAAATACAGAAGTAAATAAATAAATAATTAATAATAAAAAGCAACCACTCTAGTCTTTTCTTGCTTAGAGGCCTCACTGATTCTTTACCCCAACAAGTCATCTGGGATACTGTAATTCTCCATTTTTTTCATTGAGAGATATCTCACTGGGGATGGAAAACCCTATCTGTTATTTGAACAGAGAAGGTAATATAAGAATTACTGGGGCCGAGCACAGTGGTTCACACCTCTAATCCCAGCACTTTGGGATACCGATGAGAGAGGATTGCTTGAGTCCTGGAGTTTGAGACGAGCCTGGGAAACATCGTGAGATTTCCTCTCTACAAACAACAAAAAATTAGCAGTGTGTGGTAGTGTGTGCCTGTAGTCCCAGCTACTCTGGAGGCTGAGGCAGGAGAATTGCTTAAGCCCTGGAAGCTGATGCTGCAGTGAGCTGTGATCATGCCGCAGCACCCAGCTTGAGTAAAAGAGTGAGACCCTGTTTCAAAAAAATAAAAATAAAAAAGATTAAATATGAAGTTGCTAACTAGGTAACTAGAAGACACTAAGGTATCACAGTAAAAGCGACCACAGATTGGTGGGGTGCAGTGGCTCATGCCTGTAATCCCAGCATTTTGGGAGGCTGAGGTAGGCAGATCACCTGAGGTCAGGAGTTCAAGACCAGCCTAGTCAACATGGTAAAACCCCATCTCTACTAACAAAAAGTAGCTAGGTATGGTGGCATCTGCCTGTAGTCCCAGCTACTTCGGAGGCTGAGGCAGGAGAATTGCTTGAACCTGGGAGGAGGCAGAGGATGCAGTGAGCCGAGAATATGTTACTGCGCTCCATGCACTCCAGCACGGTGACAGAGCAAGACTCCATCACCGGGGTGGGGTGGGGGTGGAGAAGCAACTGTAGGAAGCAGCTCCCGCCCCTAGTGCTGAGAACAGGAAGGAGTGGGAATGATTAAAACTTGAAAACTTGAGACTCAGACTCTGAGGAGGGGGCACTGCTTGGCTGGGCTGGCATTTCTGAGCTGGAGAGGGTCCTTGAGAACCCGATATCTCCTGAGAGAATGAGAGCATGAGGCTGGTTCTGTAAGTGTTGGAAAACCTGCAAACTACATTTGACTGCTGCTCTAAGAAGGAACGGCCACTGCTGGGGTGAAGAAGTGAGACTAGAGTGACATTGACAGGAGCAGAAAATCTGCAGGAAGCAGACAGGAAGGAAGGAGTTTCTTTCTCCCTCACCATGCTGTTCCCTCTGTGGCCTTCCACGGGAAGGGCCTAACGTGGAGCCAGCTGGCAAAGCAGAACTGTGGTTGGCAGAATCCCAGCCCAGCATCACAAAGCAAGCACAGAAGGGCAGGTTTGCAGCCGAGAGGCAATAAGTGAAGAACATCTCCCAAAACACTTTGTTTGCTGTAATATGCACAGCCATTATCCAAACCATTCATCCAGAGAGATTCAAGCTCTTAATAGATTCATCATCAGGCAGTCTCTAGGGGCATAGCTCGTGGATTTTTAGACTGAGTTTGGATTCCCAATGGGCAAGCAGTAGCAGACATAGCCATCTGCCGCCACGGTCTTACAGCAGTGAGCACAGAGGCATTGTCAATCGCAGGTCAGGATGGGCTTCTAAATCAGGTGGGGAGCAATGAAGACCTCTTGGCGGTAGCCTCACTGTGGCTGTGGAAATTGGCCTGTCTCTATGGTTGGTCTCACTTCTCCAGTGAAGTCTTCTGGGGTTCTGACCCAGAGACCACTCAAAACCACGGCCCACTTTTCCCTGAGGACTTGTCAGTCACCCAGGGCTGGAAATGTGGATAGCCATCATGCTAACCAAACACGACTCACGGAGTGTATTCACAAGCAAATTTATTTCATTGTCCACTGTTCTCTTTCATCTGCCCAGGGAAGCCAGCTCTTCTTCTGCCCCAGATGAAATTTAGGGCAAGTCTATAGCTTTCTGTTCACACTTAGTAGTGGCAGCAATCTTCCAGTCCTGTAAATCACACACTATGCATTTAGTAATTAAGTTATTCAGTTCCATAACTTCTTGCTTTGAAGTTGAAGCTTCTCCCCCATCCCAGCTCAGGATTCTTGAAAGGTGAAGAGAAAGGAGGCTGGGGAGAGGGTATGTGATCAGCTGCTAGTATTTCTCTTCCTCCTTCCCCAGATTACTAGCCATGAGTCCTGCCTCTTTCAGAGCTGGAGTCCTGCAAATGAAAAGAGGCTAGGGGAGCAGGAAAGTTCTTACTTGACTGGCCCTGGCTTGGGAATTTAGCATCTGCCTGCTCTGGACTTGACAAATATTGACAGCTGACTCTCACCAGCCCTTTGCAGTGATCTTCCCACCACTGAGGAGCTCTTCCCTGCAGTTTGCTTCGCAGGACAAAGGCTGTCCGTGCTTGCTACTCACTTACTCCTTCCTCAGCCCTCCGCACCTGGTGATACCTTGAGCTTCTCTCTGAGAGGCCGGTTTGCCCCTCCACACAGCACTCTTGAACAGATCTAAGATAACCCCTCACTGCCTGGCCTTTCTTGGATGTGACCTACATTGGCCACACACACACACACACACACACACCCCGTCTACCATGACCAATATGGGGAGCACAAGCTGTCCTAGCCTTCTCCCTTGCTACCACCTTACTCCACAGTCAAAGCTAGAGTCAGCCTATTGCTGTCCTTTGGATTTACCAGGTGGGAATTGGACACCTGTGCACTGAGTTTCCTAAGCTACAAGAAACGTGTATTAAGCCCTCTCAGTGGACAAGTTGAAGCCCCATTCCGTGAGCTTGTGATGAGGTCCCTATGCTCCCTCTCCTCCCCCATGGGACTCACAACCTGCCAAAAACCAGAAACCCTCTTTTCTCATCTGCCAAAGACTGGCTATTCCATCACCATGAAAGTAGGGTGCAAGAGTCATAAAACTAGTTGGTTTTCTCTTGCTGGCTTTCTCCGCAGTCCTGCATGTGGTCTGGCACCTCGCTTAAAATGCCATCTTGTTGTCTTCAGGCCTTAGCAGAATTTCTTTGTTAATATCTTGTTACATGTGTACATTGAGGAAAAAAAATGAGTAGAGTAACTGAATTGCTTTATTATTCTAAAAGCAACAATATGCTCAAAGCTTCCAAACATGAGTAAAATGGCCAGGACAGGACTTTTTAGGTCCCACAGGGACTGTTCAGTTAGAAAAGAGGAGAAATGTTGCCAAACTTCCTCCAAGGCCTTGGAATCATCTCTCCCCTGAAATTACTGAACTGTTTCTAATCCCTTGGAGAAGGATCTAAAACTCTGAGATTGCTTCAAGGGCTACCATTTTACCTCACTGGTTTACCATGAGGATTAAATCAGACAATAGTATATGCAAACATAATTTGTAATTGCGTAAACTAGAAGGTAAACACACAGATGTGTATGGGACAATCATGACTATGGATACTTTAAAGGAATTTTAATTACCTAGAATTTCTAAATAGCTCTCCGAAGGTAGTTACAGTTCAAAGAGGAAATTTCGCTCTTTCAAACTAGATCTGTAGCAAACAATGGGCTGTTTGGCAAGTGCTTCTGAGAAAAGAGTCCTCCTAGATTATATGTTAGCAACATCGAGAGATTACAGCGTAGTTGGAAGTCAGGACCCCACCCCAGGCATGGCTGACCCCACCCCGGGCATGGCCTACCCCACCCCAGGCATGGCAGACCCCACCCCAGGCATGGCCTACCCCACCCCAGGCATGGCAGACCCCACCCCAGGCATGGCCTACCCCGCCCCAGGCATGGCCAACCCTACCCCAGGCATGGCCTACCCCAGGATCGCCTGCATGCTATTCTCAGTGGACCTGCTCTGGCCTTAGGAGAGGGCTTGACCCCCAGGCGGAGAGGCAGTAAATGGCCAGGAGCAGTCTTACCACTGCACGATCGGGGCAAGGGTCCCCAGGGACCATTCTGAGGTGTGTTCCAATTTCTCAGGGCCTGCCCTTCCATGGGAACCTGTTTGCCAGCACCTTTACTGGCTTGCCTTTCTTCCCTCCCTCTTTCCCCATTCTCTCTCAGAGCCTTCCAGGATCACAAACCAACTGCTCGCACTCAAACCTTTGCCCCAGCTTCCTTCATGCTGAGTGTGATCCTATCCACTTTTGCCAGTACTTCATAGTAATCTTAAAAGTAGGTGCTGCTGACCGCCGAGACCGTGTCCGCCTGGCGAGCACAGAGCCTTGCCCTTCGCCACCTGTCCACACCTGCCGCCAGCTTACCATGGGTGATATCGCTGTGCTCGTCATCAACAATGGCTCCAGCACATGCAAGGCTGGTTTTGCTGGCAATGATGCCCCTGGGCAATCTTCCCCTCCGTTGTGGGGTGCCCCAGGCACCAGGGAGTGATGGTGGGCATGAGTCAAAGGGACTCCTATGTGGGCAACAAGGCCCAGAGCAAGCATGGCACCTGACCCTGAAGTACTCCACCGAGCACGGCATCATCACCAACTGGGATGACATGGAAAAGATCTGGCACCATGCCTTCCACAACAAGCTGTGTGTGGCTCCTGAGGAGCACCTCGTGCTGCTGACCAAGGCCCCCCGGACTCCAAGGCCAACAGTGAGAAGATGACCCCAGTCATGTTTGAGACCTTCAACACCCCAGCCATGCACATGGCCATCCAGGCCGTGCTGTCCCTGTATGCCTCTGGCCGTACCACTGGCATCGTGATGGACTCCGGTGATAGGGTCACCCACACTGTGCCCATCTACAGGGGGTATGCCATCCCCCACACCATCCTCCATCTGGCTGGCCGGGACCTATCTCATAAAGATCCTCACCGAGTGCGGCTACAGCTTCACCAACATGGCAGAGCGGGAAATCGTCCATGATATCAAGGAGAAGCTGTGCTACATCGCTCTGGATTTCCAGCAGGAGACGGCCACGGCAGCCTCCAGCTCCTCCCTGGAGAAGAGCTACGAGCTGCCCGACGGCCAGGCCATCACCATCAGCAACAAGTGGTTCCCCTGCTCCGAGGCGCTCTTCCAGCCTTCCTTCCTGGGGATGGAATCCTGTGGCTTCCACAAAACTACCTTCAACTCCATCATGAAGTGTGACGTGGACATCTGCAAAGACCTGTACGCCCACACAGTGCTGTCTGGAAGTACCGCCATGTACACTGGCATCGCCGACAGGATACAGAAGGAGATCATCACCCTGGTGCCCAGCACGAGGAAGATCAAGATCAGTGCTCCTCCGGAGCGCAAGTACTCTGTGTGGGTTGGCGGGTCCATCCTGGCCTCGCTGTCCACCTTCCAGCAGATGTGGATCAGCAAACAGGCATACGACGGGTCCAGCCCCTCCATTGTCCACCGCAAAGGCTTCTAGGCAGACTGTGACTTAGTTGCGTTACACCCTTTCTCGACAAAACCTAAGTTGCACAGAAAACGATGAGATTGGCATGGCTTTGTTTTTTTTGTTTTGTTTTGTTTTTGTTTTTGGCTTGACTCAGGATTTAAAAACTGGAACGGTGAAGGCGACAGCAGTCAGTTGGAGCGAACATCCCCCAGAGTTCTACAATGTGGCCGAGGACTTTGTTCTTTTTTTAAGTAGTCATTCCAAATATGGTGAGATGTATTGTTACAGGAAGTCCCTTGCCCTCCTAAAAGCCACCCTACTTCTCTCTAAGGAGAATGGCCCAATCCTCTCCTGAGTCCGCACAGGGGAGGTGATAGCATTGCTTTCGTGTAAATTATATAATGCGAAAATGTTTAAATCTTCGCCTTAATACTTTTTTATTTGGTTTTATTTTGAATAATCAGTCTTCGTGGTCCCCCCTTTTTGTCTCCCAACTTGAGATATACGAAGGCTTTTGGTCTCCCTGGGAGTGGGTGGAGGCCGCCAGGGCTTACCTGTACACTGACTTGAGACCAGCTGAATAAAAGTGCACACCTTAAAAAAAAAGTAGGTGCTGCTATGATTCCTTTATAGATGAGGAAACTACAAGGTACCGACACTTGCCAAAGGTCACGTAACTTGCAAATGATAGAGCAGTTTGCTTCTAGAATCCACATTCTCAATTACTCACTGTACTTTTCAAACTACTGACCACCGAATAAGCCGACCCAGGGAACCTGACATCCTTCCTCTAATTGTTTTGAGAAGCCTGACTCAGGGATTGCTGGAAGGCAGAGAAGGGTATAGCAAGGTCAGTGAAGATTTGAGAACTGAAAGCCTGAATGCAAAACGACGTTCCACCTCCACTTACAGCTGAATGACTTTGGACAAATCACTTCTCTGACCCTCAGTTTAAACCTTACGTGTAACACCAAGTGGTGGTGGTGGTGCAGTGGTGAAAAATCATGCCTGACTCACGGGGTTTTGGTGAGGTTGAAATGAGGCGATGCTTCAGGGCATCTGGCAAACTCTGAGCATGATGGAAGATTCTGGATGCCATGACATCTGCCTCTGATTCCTTTCTCTGTAGAGCCATCCATTTAGCCCATCTGCCAGGACATAGGACTCTCACCTGCCCCTTCCTGAAAAGAGTCAGTATGATGTAGGTGCTTAGTGTGCCTGTTAGCATGGTGTAGGTTAGTATGGTGTAGGTATAGTATGATGGTGAAGTTTGGAATCGGATAGTAATCTGAATCCCAGCTCTGCTATTTCTACCTTTGAAAAGAAAACATACACAAAATAAAACAAACAAAAAGCATTGGACAGGTCATTTTGTCTGTCCAAGGGCTCAGTTTCTTCATCTGTAAAATGGGGATAGTAAGGCCTGTGGAAAGGGCTAAGGCAGTGGACAGAAAATGCTTAGCGCAGCCAGGCACGTGTTCATACTCAAAACATGGGAGTGAGTGATTACTACTGAGTTTATGAGGGAAAATAGGAGGCCCATCCAAAGACAGGCAAAAAGAAGGTTGATCTGACTGATTTCACAGGATATTTAATAGGCATTAGCTTTCTCTGTCTACTGGAGAGAAAGTGAGAAAGCCTCAATCTGTCATTGTGTTCCTGTCTACATTCAAACTCTACACATCTTGGTGGGGGGGAAGGATGAGGAGGGTTCAAAGAGAAAACAGTTTTGGAAGCCATTATAGAAAGCAACAATGACACAACACAGAGAGCTATAGCAGTGAACACAATGAATTCCTTAAATGTAAACAAGAGCTTTTATTTCTGAATCTTGCCTCCTCTCGCCCCAATCAAAGAAGAAGAATGTGGGGAGGGGGCGGAGGGGGGCTGTGAAGAGGCGGCAGGGCTAAAAAGACCTCTCTCTGTGGAATATGCAATGGGCTGGGCAGGGGCAGAAATGTGGGTGCGGAGGGAAAGAAGGCCGGAGCCACAGACGAGGTGAAAGAGAAAGCCGGCCATGGCCTCCTGACTGAGCAGGGCGCCAGATCCGTGGCTCCCCTCCCCCGTGGGCGCGCCCGGCCCCTCCGTGGCTCCCCTCCCCCGTGGGCGCGCCCGGCCCCTCCGTGGCTCCCCTCCCCGTGGGCGCGCCCGGCCCCAGGGGTTCACGGGAGAGGACCTGTTGGTCTCCCTGGCTCTGTGAGAACCACTTTGCTCAGGGGGCTTAAGTGCCTGTTGGAAACTCAGCACTTGTTAACTTGTCATGGCATAAAAGAAGGGAGAGAGGCCTGACATTTTCCCAACCCCTGAAAGTGAAAGAAGAAAGGGCTCTTTACTTTCAGGGCCACATCCTGAATGACAGGGTCAGTGTCTGCAACTGATCCGTGTGGGCGCAGGCTTCTAATTATTTCCTGGATAACCTGTTATCTATTATCCATCGGGCCGCTTGCCAGAGTATGCTAATGTCTCCAGCGTTCCTGGTCTGGATTCTGAAGAGCGGGTTTTTGTTTTTTGTTTTAAAGGGAAAGTAGAGTGGGGGGCAGGCAGCTGTGAGATTCCTGGTGAGAGGAAGGCTGTCGTCTCCTCTGCCATCGGCCTGCGCGATGGGGAGCGATGCCCCGCGGAACCCGGCCGCCACTCCTCTTTCTCTTGGCTACTTGACTTCTGCTCTTCTGGGGGACTTAGCTTTATCGGAATCTTCTGGAAAAGCTTCTGAGAGAGAAATGTTTTTCTGAACTACTCTCATTTTCTTGGAGAACAAGGAAGCTCTTCAAATAACGTTTTGTTTGAGCACAGGAGGGAAGGGAGGGTGTCAGAATTCAATAGGGCTGTTCTTCTGTTGAGTAGGGGCAGGACTTGGCTGTCACCCAGGTGAGCTCCGTATCATCAGCCATCAGTTACACCCTGGCCTCTATTATTTGTACTAAGGCACAATGAAATGTCACTGAGTGGGAGGAGTACACAAATATAGGGCGTAATTCTTTTTCTTATTATAAAGATAGTATACCTCTGATTCAAGCAACAGTCAGAAAAAGAAATACATTTAAAACTTCTAAAAAAATTTTAAGGTAGTACATATTTATTATTTTAAAAATGAAAACTCTTATACACTGTATACATGTATCAAAATATCACAGTTTCCCATAAATATGTACAATTATTATATGTCAATTAAAAATAATGATAAAAGCCTGTAATCCCAGCACTTTGGGAGGCTGAGGCGGGCAGATCACTTGAGGTCAGGAGTTCAAGACCAGCCTGGCAAACATGTTGAAACCCTGTCTCTACCAAAAATACAAAAATTAGCCAGGCATGGTATCGGGCGCCTATAATCCCAGCTACTAGAGAGGCTGAGGCCAGAGAATTGCTTGAACCTGGGAGGTGGAGGTTGCAGTGAGCTGAGATTGTGCCACTGTAGTCCAGCCTGGGCAACACAATGAGACTCCTTCTCAAAAAAATAAAAAAATTAATGATAAAAGCAAAAAAAAAGGAAAACTCCAAGAAGAGCAAAAATAAAAAAACACAAATTTCATTCCTCAGGGATAATCACTGTTAATGTTTTGGTGTATCTTCTTCAATTTTTTAAAATAATGCTAATTTATATCTGTGAAAAACAGGGTATTTGTTTAAAAAAAAAATACACTGGTGCCCTCTGATTTTTTGGCTACATCTAGGACATAACGTGCCCTTTAGCATTGGGTATTAGGATTAACTCTCTTAAATCCTCAGAGGGTCAGTTTTATGAGGCTAAGATAAAGCAAGGCTCCTAGTTCAGCAGGCTCTAGTGACGGCTGCAATCCAGGACCTTTGGTTTTAAGCATTTATTTTCATTTATGTGCATATAGAGAAGGAGGAAGATCAGGTGGAGCTGCCCAGGAGTAGAGAAAGACTTGCATGTGAATTCATATGATCGAAAGGCAAACAGGCAGATCCTGAACCAGCCCTCCCATGGCAAACATCTAGAAAACTAGACAAAGTACATGAAACACCTGTGTTCACACATCTCTGACATTCACTGAGTTTACTGAAACAAATGAGGCGATCCCTAGGTTGCCCCAGCTTTTTGCCTAAAAGCACATTCCAGACCACCACCTGGAGATGGAGACGGGAAGCCAAGCAGAACACAGATGTCTTGCTGAGTTAAGGAGACAGAGACCCGGCATGGTTGGAATTTGCCATGCAGGATAGCAGGGAGGAGAGAACCACACAAAGACCTCTAGAAACCTTGACAAGAGTACTCTCAAGTATTTGGTTGAATACTAGGCTATACATGTCCATGGTAAGGCTCTATGAGTCTGGATAAAAAGCAACACTGGCCGGGCGCGGTGGCTCAAGCCTGTAATCCCAGCACTTTGGGAGGCCGAGGCGGGTGGATCATGAGGTCAAAAGATCGAGACCATCCTGGTCAACATGGTGAAACCCCGTCTCTACTAAAACTACAAAAAATTAGCTGGGCATGGTGGCGCGTGCCTGTAGTCCCAGCTACTCAGGAGGCTGAGGCAGGAGAATTGCCTGAACCCAGGAGGCGGAGGTTGCGGTGAGCCGAGATCGCGCCATTGCACTCCAGCCTTGGAAACAAAAGCGAAACTCCGTCTCAAAAAAAAAAAAAAAAGCAACACTGGGAAAAGAACAAATACTGGTGAGCTGTAAACTGAATGCCTCCAGAAGCCTATACGTAGTTGGAAGTTTTTTGAGCTCTAGTCAGCTAGAATAAAGAGACCTCACTGAACACCTGGGACATTCAGTAGAGACCCCAGGGAAGCTAGGCCTTAGGAGTAAAACTTAACTAGCTCTAGAGTGAAGGTTCCTCTAGACCTGCTCTCACAAAGTTTGAAAACAAGCCTCAAAAGGATCATGATGATCATTTAAAAACTTAAAATAACCATTGAAATAAAACAGACACTCTCTCAATATCGTAACCCTTATATTGTCTAGCATCCACTAAAAAGTTTCTTTAATTTTTTTTTTAATTTTTGTGGTTACACAGTAATGTGTATATATTTATGGGATACATGAGATATTTTGATACAAGCATGCAATGCATAATAATCCCATCATGGAAAATGGCATATCCTTTTCCTCAAGCCTTTATCCTTTGTGTTACAAGCATTCTAATTACATTCGTTTAGATATTTTAGAATGTGCAATTAAATTACTTTTTATTATAGTCTCCCTGTTGTGTTATCAAATACTAGGTCTTACTCATTCTATCCAGCTTTTTTTTTTGTACCCATTAACCTACCCTACCTCTCCCCCATCTCCTCCCTGCCCCTGCCACAACCCTTCCCAGCCTCCGGTAATGCTCCTTCTAACTATCTCCATGAGTTCCATTGTTTTGATTTTAACATCCCACAAATAAGGGAGAACATGTAATGTTTGCCTTTCTGTGCCTGGCTTATTTCATTTTAACATAATGACCTCCAATTCCAGCCATGTTGCAAATGACTAGATCTCATTATTTTTTATGGCTGAATAGTACTCCATTGTATATGTATATGTACCACATTCTCTTTATCTATTCATCTGTTGATGGATATTTAGGTTGGTTTCAAATCTTGACTGTTGTGAATAGTGCTGCAACAAACATGGGTGTGCAGACATCTCTTCGA